TTAAAGGCATAGTTGAGGATGGGTCTCTAACTAAAATTTTTCTACTCTAGCCAATATATCTTTGTTTAAATGGATTATACTATAATGTAATTTAATTGCTAAATCTCAAACTTGAGTTTGACTAGGGTATTTATATGAACATTAAATTATTTAATTTTACATTTTCATGCATTTTATGAGTTTACTACTTCTAACATATTATTCTAGTTAGGTTAATACTATAACTCTTATAATTTTCATATATCAATGAAATTTTATTTCTCATTAAAAAAACAACCTTTGATGATAGGAGACTTATCAAATATATAGCTAATTAGATTCTTTTTGTTTAGATGTTTGTGAACACCCTATAATTGATATCTTTTATCCGATCATTGATATATAGTGTTTGAATTATAAAATAACAATTATTATTCTTTAAACATCAATTATTAACTGTTGTCAAATACCTATACAAGATATAGTGTCAATCGAGTTGATATCTTTTAATTAAAATATTGATGATGAAATTTATTAAAGAAAGTCTTGATGATAAGAATGTCCTTGTGGCTTAGTAGCCACCTTTCCTTTGTTAGGGACTTCTCAAACTTATTTGGTGGTGTGGGGTTTGTGCCCCGGTCCCCCAACGTTTAAAAAAAAAAAAACAGAAAGTCTTGATGACGAGAGATTATAAGGCCTTAAACTGGGAAGTAGCAATGACCATAAAAATTCACAATAAAAAAAAAATAATCTCAAACCGACCAAAATTATAACTAATAATTTGAGTTTGACTAGATTTTAGACTTTTTGATAAAAAAAATTAAATTGAATTGATCTTAAACTATTTGAACTTTGGTTGTTAAGTCTCAAAATTAAAGAACCGATAATTAGAGTAAGTATAACTAAAAGATATAGTTCAAAATCCTTTTATATAAAATTTTTAATAGTTTTTAGATTTTTTTAATACTTTTTCTACTAAATTAATTTATTTATTTGGGTAATTTTTAGTTTTTTAATGATTTAGATTAGCAAAATAATAATTAATAAATTTAAAAATCATTAAAAAAATGTAGAAATAGTTTTTGAATTAAAATAAAAAACCAATCTAAATAATTATTCAAAAAAAAAAAATCAAAACTGACAAAACCCATTTTCTAGTTTGGTTATTAGTTTTTAAAATTTAATAACAAAAAATTTAATTAATTAACCATTAATTCAATTATAACCAAAAAACTGGTAGCCTCCTAACTAGGGTTAGGTTATGTTGTCTCCTTAAGATTTCTCTCCTCTAGTCAAAAGCCTTCTCCTTCTTTGCCTTCTTGCATTGTCATCCCCATCATTGACCAACTTTGCCCAAGTACTACTCACCCACACACCCAATTGATTAGCAAGCTTTCGACTGATCAAGCCTTATTTTGGCATACCTGTTGCGGTGCAACCATCCTCGTTGATTTGTTTATGCTGTCAAGTAGCACAGATCTATTCCCATTATAGTGTCACAAGCTTTCTTCAATTGCACAGATCTAATTCCGTCTAAGTCTCTTACGTTCCCTTTTCACGTTCCCTTTCTCATGGGCAACTTATCCATACTTTTTTAGGATGTCCAATCATAGGGGTAGTCGGCATCTAGGCCAAGAAGCAAATGACCTAGGTTCTCTCCTAGGTCAAATTCGACTTTTGGAGGAGGAACACACGACACTATCATTAGAACATGCCTACAATCCTTCCTTGGTTGAATCTAAATCTTCTTGTCTTATCAGGAAAATTCATACAAATAAGGGGGTTAATCTCATAGGGCTACAAAATGCACTTACTTCAACATGGAAAACTACTTCTACTGTGTAGATCAAAGAACTACGTGATAGAATTTTCCTATTCTAGTTTTTGAATAGCTACAATGTTGATAGAATATGGCAAAAATCAACTTGAAATTTTGATCACTCCTTGATCAGTTTATGATGTTTTAATAAATCCTTGGCTCTCAGCAATTATGGTTTTTCAATATCTTCTTTTTGGGTGTGACTTTTTGGCCTTCCCTATTGGCTTCACAATGAAATAGCAAGATACCAAATTGGAAGTAGGATAAGGAAAGTTCTTGAAGTAGATGACCCTTTCACCAAAGCTTTGTGAGTTTGAATCTAGCTTGAGGTAAATAATCCATTGCGACATTTTAAGAATGTTAAAATTTCAACTATCAAAACTCTTCAAGTCCCAATGAAATATGAAAGACTTCCAAAGTTTTGTTTCATATGTGGATGTATAGGGCATGTGGTTTCTAATTATGGAACTAGATTTAGATCAAAAAAGGTTAGAGAGAAGTTATCTCACCCTTACAGAACATGATTGCAAGCACAGAATGAGTACTTTGTGTAATTGCAAGGAACTTTAGATCCTTCTTTAATTCAAATCTACTCTTCAGTTAACTTGCAAGGCCCCAAGGTTGCTCCTCGAGGTAAACACTTTGATGCTTAAATCAGCAATAGTTAGGTCTGCTAGTAAGAAGGCATAAGAAAGCTTGAGGTAAGTTTCAATTACCATTGAGGGAGGACCTTTAGAGGGTATTTATAGCCTTTAAGAGGGTGTCCATGTGTTGTTCTTCGCGGATAACCGAGATCATATGGGTCAATGATCGTAGGAAACTCTCTTGAGAGATCTGTGCATGTACGGAGCTACTGTGGAGCAAGAGTGGAGAAGATGAGCTCGAACTCGACTAAGCTCATCACGATTCAAGCGACATCAAGTGACTAAAGGGTGTTGAGAATAGCTTAGCGCGTTTGAGGTGCGTAACCTCGAACTACCATCATTACACTACCCCCCCCCCTCCGAAGTCATTCACTTGTGAATGATATGAGGGTTGTGTGACTTATGGCTGAGGCTAGTGTTATGAAATGTGGCCACGCAATGCATGATCAGAGCTAAAGTGAAAATATCATGACATGGTCACATAATGTATGGTCGAAGCTAAAGTGAAAATATCATGACACATGGTTATGTAATGTATGGCCAAAGTTGAAGTGAACATATCATGACACGTGGTCATGTAATGTATGGCCAGAGCTAAAGTGAAAATATCATGAATCAGTGTGAGTACACTTAAATGAAATTTAAAATAGTTAACATTAGATTTGGACAAACGTTTGAAATGTAACTGAAAGTGAATTAATTCATGAGCTGACAGTAGTCCTCATGTGACATGCTTTAATAAATAACTGCAGACAAGAATAACTACCAAATTTGAAAGGACGCAATCAGAGCCGTTGGATGTGGACAATCGTGATCGTTAAGGGAAATGTGGCCTTAGTGTAAATAGCCAGATTTGAGTTATTCAGAATTTACCTTGCTGAATTTATAGTGGAGCGTTGCCGAATTCGCGTTAGAGCACTTCGTCATCCGAGCTCTCATCTGCTGAGTTCAAGTTTCTAGTCCGGGGAGTTAGTCAAAAATCATCCAAGTGTTGCACTTCGATTGTCACAAAATCAGGTAACCTCATGAGCTCATCTTCTGGTTTAAGTGAGCTATCTGATTTAATTATAACTTGTTCAGACTTAGGACTAAGTCCAACTAGGGAAATTAGGGATAGGTCTGAGAGTGAAGTAGAATGTGAGAGGGAGCTAATTGAGGATTCTAACTGTTCTCCCCCTCCTACTCCTTATAACGAGAGTTCCAAAATGGAGATGTCTTTAGAAGGAACAGTGAGTATTGGAAGTGGCCAAGAGGTGCGAGAGTTGTCAAGTAAAAGTAGTAGTAAAGTAGAGACTTCCAACAATGGAGAAAGTGAGGAAAGTGGGAAGGAAGCAAAAGAGGTGGGGGTGCCTTCAAACATCTTGGAGGTTGATAATTGTAGGGTGAAGTGTTATAATGAGGGTGAGGAAGTACTTTCGAAAGTCGTTGGATATGAGGCATTTTGGAAGAGTAGGAGTGACCTCACACATCTGGTGGAGCAGCACACCATCTTGGGGCACATTTTGCTTAGACCTGCTAGTTAAATGGAAAGGGCGTGCTTAACGTCGAGGGACCATTGGATGCCCATATATGGCCATTATTTATCAGTTGGGCTTAGGTTCTTAATACCTAAGTTGCTAATGGCCCTGTTGAAGGAGTGGGGGTTGGGGATAACGCAACTCATCCCCAACATAGTTTGACTAATCATAAGGTTCTTAGTATACTACAGAACACAAGGTGTGCTTGTCCCAACAATCAATTTGTTCAAGTACTTCTTTTTAATAAAGGGAGGGAGTAGTAAAGAGAAAGGGTGGTTTTATTTCACACCCGGGGTGGCTGGGGGCGGAAGTAGGAACTTGTTCATTGTGGGTCCGTCTTCCATTAAGGGGTGGAAAGACAAGTTTCTGTTTGTGGATGATATGAAGTGGGGAAGGTTGGATGTAGAGGTGATGAACCTCTGTAGAGGGAAGGGCAAAAAAGTAAACCCAAATAAGTACGCGTTAAGTGTGGGGGAGCAGGAGGAGGTGGAGAGGTTGGAAAGGAAGGGTGAGAAGGTGGTGGACATCATGCTTCTCACTAGCTCGAAGATGCTAAAAGTGGTTGAAATCTATGGGCCGATCTCATTAAGTGAAGGTCTGTTTATTTGAATCTATATTTACTTGAGTTGCAAATTTGATTAAAAATTTTTATCTGTGTTTTGTTTTGTAGAAGACATGAATTGGTTGCTGTTTGGAGGTAAGACCATTGCTTTCCCGGAGAAGAGGTCAAATGACCTAGGTTCGACTATTGTAAAGGAAAAGATAGTGGGTGGGACTTTAAGACCCCACCCAAGTGGAAGAGCCCGAGCTGAAACGGGGCCCAACTTGGAGCAAAGGAAAAAAGGGTTGAAGAGGAGGCTACATCACAAAAAAGGAGAAGGGTTGAAGAGGAGGCTACATCACAAAAAAGGAGAAAGGTGGAAGAGGTGCAGCTGCCACAGCCCGAGGCTCCGATTGAGTTCATACCTTAGCCTCCGCCAATGCAGATTGATCCAGCTCTGTTGGAGGTGGGAGTGGTAATCCATGAAAAGGGGAAGGGGGTCCCTTTTCTAAAGCAGAAGTTTGCTTCCTCGAGATTGCCAATAGGACTGCTGCTAAACAGTTTAACAAGACCACCTTTCTAGATGTGGATCTAGAAAAGGCGAAGAAAGAAGTGGACAAAAATGGAGGATCTAGCATCATACAACACACCCTTGAGGTGAGGGCTGGAAAACATCTCCTTACTCTCCCTTCTTTTTTTTTTATATATATATTTTTTACCTCTACCCTTCTTGCAGATGGTAAACCTCGTGAATGCCTTAACAGTTGAGTGCTTTAACTGCCTCAAGGAGAGAAACACCTTGACTAACATAAATGACGAGCTCAATTAGCAGAAGGAGTCAACAGAGCAGAACTTCAATGACCTAACTTCCAAACTAGAGAAAGTTAAGGAGGAGTTGGCTACTGCTAAAAAAGCTGTTGAGCTCAAAGAGAAGAAAAGGAAGAAATGCGAAGAAAATCTAGCCAAGGCGAAAGATGAGCTGGTTGAAGTGCAAAGGAAAGTCGAGCTAGTGGTCCGAAACTTAGTCGAGTAGCATGTCTCAGACTTCGTCAAATCAGTAACTTTTTCCGAGATCGTGGATCTCTACCGGCTACCCACACTAGTCATGGCCTTCACCAATTGTAGAAAAAAGATGAAGGCCCAAAATCCTAAGGTAAACGTGACTAAGGTCACGTTCGGACCTCAGGAGGTCGGTGTGGAAGAAGACAAGGATAGCAAAACAATTGAGTTTCGACTGAGATCACAGCGAAGTGGGAACAGGATGAAGTTGGACGAATTGTACTCCCACCCTGTCTGGAATACGAGTTCATTGCTATCGACAAGAACGAAGCCAAGGTGGGTGGTGGGACTAAGGTCGCAGACAACGCTACCGAGCAAGAAATGGACCAATAGTATCAAGTGATCGATTGATCTTGGCTAGCTCATCTTTAATTTTTTATATTTGTTAATCTAAAGGCATTTGTACCTTATTTCAAATTAATATAGTACCAATTTAAGAAATCTTGTTTTTGTATTTTTTTCTTTATATTTAAATGTGTGAGTTCTGACATCAGAACCATATCTTGGAAAACTGAAATTAAAGTTGTAATAAACTATTTGACCTTGATTTCTAAAGTGTGATTATTCATATTGGATCCAAAGTAGGAATGGGTTTCTAACCTCAACTTCAAGAATTGGAATATTATACAATTGGGTAAAAAATTAAATGAGACCAAGTTTCGTTATGAATAAAACTTCTTCAAATGATTCACATTCCATACTCCAGGAACCCTCTTACCCTCGGTGTCTTGAAGTACATAAGTGTCAGGGTGAGGTATTTCATCTATTACACATGGACCTTCCTAATTCAGTGCTAGCTTACCAAAGTGGGTTTCGATGCTAGTGAGCCTTGCCTTTCTTAGGATATGGTCACCAATCCTGAAACTTCTAGGTTGAACTTGCTTATTGTAGGAATTGGCTACCTTCTGCTTATATGCTAGTGTTCGAAGTCGAGCTTGTTAACAGACTTTGTCTAAAAAATCAAGGTTTTCCCTAAGTAGCTACTCATTTCGCGTTATGTCTAAATGGCTAACTCTTAAACTCAGGATAGCAATTTTAACAAGAATGACTACCTCAATCCCAAAAGCCAACTGATAGGGCATTTCACCTAATTAAAAGAAATTGTAGTTCAAGGGTTTACTTTACATAGTTATTTATAACTTCATATACGACAATGAAAGGAAATTGGAACTAATGGCGTACCTGTAGCTGTTTGGCACGTAGTTCGGTAAGCCCATAGGACATTGTTGAGCTTGTTTACCTACTTGGCTTTGAGTTGATCCAACTTGAGCTTGATCCCCTCTAAGATAACTTTGTTGACTGATTCAACCGTTCCATTTGCCTTAGGATGGTAAACCAATGTGAACACTAACTTGATCCCATAACTAGAACAAAAGTCTTTGAAAAAGGTGCAATTGAACTGAGGACCATTGCCAACAATGATTTGGTTTGGTATCCCAATTTTGTAGATGATTGAGCTGAAAATAAAATCTTCAATTCGTTTAGAAGTCAAGCTAGAGAGAGGCCAAGCTTTCACCCACTTAGTACAATAATCAACGACGACTAAATGTGCCACTCTCCCTACACCTTTGACAAAAGGGCCCAAGAGCTCTATGTCTCATTAGGCAAAAGGCCATGATGCGACCAAGTTAGTGAGCTCCTCCACTAGTTGATGAGTCAGGTGTGCGAAGAATTGGTATTTTTGGCACCTCTACACAAACAGCTTCGCATCCTTCTGCATGTTAGGCCAATATTACCCTTGTCGAAGTACCTTATGGGCCAAAGTCTGAGCTCTTACATGACTTCCACAGACACCTTCAAGCACTTCCCTTAGGGCATACTCAGCTTTATATGGCATCAAACACCAAAGAAGAGGAAGTGAGTATGATCTCTTATACAAAATATCATTAATTAAAGTGTATCGAGATGCCTTTCTCTGCAACTTCATCTCTTCTTGCTTATCATTTGGGACAATTCCATCTTGAAGGTAAGCTTTGATGGGGTTTGTCCAGCTAGGGGTTTCAAGGTTGGTATTGATTTCCATTCCCTTCAACCTCTAGAAGCTCGGCTCACTGAGGACTTTGACATAGATAGATGTCATCCCACCAGAGTTGTCAAAGCCTAATCTCGACAAGAAGTCTACTTTTTCATTTTCTACTCTCAACACCTTCATGAGCTAGAATCTCTTGAAATGGCACTTCAACTCAAAAGCTATAACTACGTACTTCGTTAGAGTGGGATTTGTCACCTCACATGTTGAGTTTACCTAATTGACCACTAGCTAGGAATCACTGTAGACCTATAGGGATCTGACCTTGAGCTTGGCTGCTAAATGAAGTCCCAAGAGTAGCGCCTTATACTCAACCATGTTGTTTGTTGCCTCGAAGTTAAACTTCAATGCGTGTTCACTTCAAAAATTCTCAGGCCCAATTAACATTGTTCCGAGACCTGACCCCTTACTACTAGATGACCCATCGACATAAAAGGTCTATAGCTCGGCTTCAGAGTTTGAACTCTCCTGTTTAGAGGGGCATTCTACTACAAAGTTTGCCAAAGCTTGAGCTTGAATTGTTGACTTCTATTGGAATGTGATCTAGAATTCCCCCAGCTCCACTGCCCACTTTATGAGCCTTCCTGAGCACTCTGGCTTCGATAAAATCTGCCTCAAAGGTTGGTCAGTCAACACAATAATAGCATGTGATTGGAAATATGGCCTCAATTTCCTAGTTGTGGTGAGAACTGCTAGAGCTGTCTTTTCCACTATAGAATACCTCTATTTAGCTCCTTGTAGCACCTTACTTGTATAGTACACCATTCTTTGCTGCTTTCCCATTTCTCTAACCAAAATGGAACTGATTGTTATGTCAGATATGCCAAGGTAAAGATAAAGGATCTCACCCTTTTCAGCCTTGGTCAGCAGAGGTGGCAAGTTGAGGTATGTTTTGAGCTCATCAAAAGCCCTTTAACATTTTGCAGTCCATTCAAACTTTTCAGGATTTCCCACTTCATCTTTCTGAGCTACAAACCTCAAGACTTTGAAAAAAGGTAAGCACTTATATGCTGATTTAGAGATGAACTTGTGCAAAGCTGCTACCCGTCCAATTAGGTGCTGTACATCCTTGATTGACTTCGATAGCTTCATTTCTTCTATTGCCTTTATCTTTTCGTGATTAACCTCTATCCCCTTCTTAAAAACCATAAATCTCAAGAATTTGGTTGATTCAACACTGAAGACACACTTTGCAAAATTCAACCTTATGTTGTGCTTCCTTAGGTTGTCAAACGTGTCGGCCAGGTCGACCAGGTGGTCTTCTACCTTGAGGCTCTTGACTACTATGTCATCAACGTAGACTTCCAAGTTCCTACCGATTTGAGCTCGTAATACAATTGTCACCATTTTTTGATATGTAACCCCTGCATTTTTTAGCCTAAACAACATCATTACATAATAGTAGATCTCATCCCTCGCATAGAAGGAAGCCTTGGCCTCATCCTCGGGTGCCATGTGAACTTTATGGTACCTTGAGTAAGCATCCAAGAGGTTAAATCTCTCATTTCCAGATGCAACTTCTACTAGTTTATTGATATTTGACAAGGGGTAGCAGTCTTTTGGGCAAGCATCATTAAGATTAGTGTAATCAATGCACATTCTCCACTTGCCATTTAACTTTTTGACCAAAACAGGGTAGGCGACCCATTCACAATAGTCTACTTTTCTTACAAACCCTACTTACAAAAGCTTATGTATCTCTTCCTTGATGGCCTGTAGCCTCCCCCCCCCCCCCCACCCCCCTCCCCCACCCACCACCCACCACAAACAGATGTCTTTTTTGAGCTACAAGCTTCTTCAGGAGATTGGTGCTCAACTTGTGAACTACAATTGAAGTCACGATTCCAGGCATGTCAACTGAGGTCCATGCGAATACATCCTTATTTGCCTTTAGGAAGCTTATAAGCTCTTCCCTTTCTTTCAGACTCAGTTTTGTTCCAATTTACGTCTTTTTGATGGGATCATTATCATCAATCTGCACTTCCTTCACCTCTTCCACCGAGATGGCTTTAGTCTCATCATTAGATCCATTGTTTGGCAATTCTACACCCATCACCTGTTGGGCACTTGGGCCTTCTAGTCGAGCTAGCTCTGATGGCTGAGTTATGGCATTATCTTTCTGAGGTCGAGCAACAGAGGTCATGTAGCAATGCCTGGCTATTTCTTGATTACAAAGTCGCCATTCCCATAGGTGTAGGGAACTTCATGCATAGGTGGGACTGTGAGACAACAGCTTTGATCTTGATCAAAGTAGGCCTTCCAATAATGATGTTGAAAGATAAAGCCATCTTCACAACCAAAAACCAAATTGAAGGAGTTACATAGGTCTGATCTAAACCAAAGGCCACATTGAGCCTTAGGACTCCTTCCACAGGGACTGGCTGGTTGTTAAACCCATAGATGGGGCCATCATACTTCTGTAGAAGAGCAAGATTAAGACCAAGGCTTTCAAAACAGTAATAGTACATGATGTTAAGAGCACTTCCAATATCAACAAGAACACACTGAACCTCACAATTATTGACAATGACCAAAGTGACTAATGGGTCATTGTGTGGCATGACAACATCTAGATTAGCTAAAGTGAAGGTTATGGATTGGCTTTTTTAATCTGCCTCATCAAACTTCCTCTTCTGAGCTTGGTTCTAGTGTTTCACCTCCCTCATAGCTTCTGTTGCTTAGAGCTCGTCCCTCTTGCTTCGAGCCTACCACTTATCATGTGAATGATACGTGAAGGTGGGGGAAGTGAGGGTGGGGTCTGTTGGTAACCATCTCTAGTTTTATTGTTTACATCTCAAGGTCTTTAGGATGGTTACCCTATTCTCGCACAAACTTAAGCTAATCTCTATTTGAGATGTATTCATTCAACATTCCTTTGTGAGCTAAGCCTTCAAGCTTAGACTTCAAATTGTTACATTCTTCTGTGGTGTGTTTGTGATCCTGGTGGAAGTCACAATACCTGTTGTGATCTCTGGAGGTAGGTAAGCTTTGCATAGGTGGGGGCCTTCTGAGTTCCATCTTGTTTTTAATTTGCATCAAAATTTATGACTCGACAGTGTAAATGGGGTCCAAGTTGTATACTTTGTGGTAGTTTGTGAGGTGCTTGGACTTGGTTTATCAAATTTGAGGGTAGGAAGTGGACCTCGGTTCTGTGTAGCCTTGAATTTCTTCTTGTTTTACCCTTCTTCTCTCCATGTAGGAGTTCTGATTTGTTTGCCCGGTATCGATTTACCGGATAGGGCATACTCTTTCGTTGTAACGAACTTGCGAGATCTCTCATTTGCTTCATCAAACGTAGAAGGTGGATGCTTTACCAAGTTATGTCAGAACTTCTCATGGCCGAGACCTTGTATCATGGTAGCCATTCCCACAACTTGGTTGAATGGACTGATTTCTAGCATAGCATCATTTAATCTGTTCATGTAGTTCTTTAGAGTCTTACCTTCCCTCCGAACTACCCTTATGAGCTTGGATGTTGTTTTTCGTATTAACCTTCGGCTTGAGAATTTTGTGGCAAAAGATGTTGCCAGCTCGGCATATACACTAATCAAGCTCAGCCGCAAACTGTAGTACCAAATATAAGCATTGCCACACAACGTGGAGGGAAACATCTTGCACATCAAAGTATTGAAGGCATTTTGAGCCTGCATAACAAAAGTAGAACACATGCAAATGATCATCGGGATCCTTGGTCCCATCATAAGTCTCAAATTGGGGCATCTTGAATCCGAGTGGCCATGGTTCTCGAAGGATGTTGACATTTAGGGAATGGGGATGAGGTCAAGCTCGGTTGAGTTAGAGGTATTGCATTTCGATTTTAGCCATCATTTTCTCTAGGTTGTCCAACCTCTTAGAAACATCCAAGGCAACTGGTTGAGGTGGATTCTAGGGTGGAGGTGCCATGTGGGATTGGCCTTGGGACTCGCTATGAGGTGGAGCAGCACTTGGGACTGGGGAATTAGCATTTTGCTAAGATTGGTGATTGGTTGCATGATTGGCTCGGTTTAATAAGGCGATAAGGGGATCACCCGGGTTGTCTTTGGCCAATAATTGTGCAAGTACAGGTTGAAACACGCCAAACTACTATTGCATGGCATTGAGCTGGGCAGTTATGGCGTCATTTGGAGCCACTTCTATACGTTGTGGGTTATTCTCTCCTACTCTTTTTACATGCTGATATTGGGCAATAGGGGATGTTACGATTTAAGGTATGGGGTTACCACTATGGAATTGACCTCTTCCCCTACCTTGCTAAGGACTCCCGTGTTGAGTTGAATGTGTGTTGACCATCTTAACCACTAACAAAGCTTTTAGCTCAAGTTCCCACAGACGGTGCCAAATGTAATTATAAGGAACTTCATATCCTTCTTAAATTTAGATCTGCTCTTCGATTAACCTATAAGGCCTCAAGGTTGGTCCTTGGGGTAGACACTCTGATGCTTAAGTCAGCAATAGTTAGGTCTGCTAGAAAGAAAGCATAAGAAAGCTTGAGATTGGTTTCAATTACCATTGAGGGAGGACCTTTGGAGGGTATTTATAGCCTTCAAGAGGGTGTCCACATGTTGTTCTTCGCAGACAACTAGGATCATATGTTTCAATGATCACAGGAAACTCTCCTAAGGGATTTGTGCATGTATGGAGCTATTATGGAGCAAGAGTAGAGGGGATGAGCTCGAACTCGACTGAGCTCATCATGCTTCACACAACATCAGGCAACTAAAGGGTGTTGGGAATAGCTCAACGCATCTGAGGTGTGCAACCTCATATTACCATCACTACACTTTGGACCAGTGAATTTTGAGGAATTGGTGCTGTTTGATAGCAAGTTGAGATCCTTGAAGGTAGGAATGCAGACTAATATTACACATAAATCAAATTCTTCATTGGAGGTTGAGTCATCTAGCAGGAACCATGACCATATCGATGATGGCAAAGCTAGCCAAAAATTACTCTATGATGCTTAGTTGGCCTACAACGAAAAACAACTTGCTAGTACAAAAGATGAAGATGCAAGTAGAAGAATTGAGGTGGCTAGTGATTCCTTGGGTTAACAAGATTTAGCCTCCATTCTAGGGGATATTCCCCTTAGTCACATAGTTAATGTGGCAAAGAAAAGAAGCATAGTTCAAAGAAGAAGTGAAACAGGTTTGGAAGGGATATTGTCCAATCACCAAGTAATAAGATGGAAAGGTAAGGGAAGATGATTGGGAAAAAGAAGATGGTTCCTAAGGTGCTCGATGATGGCAAGGCATCTTAAGTAAGAATTGATGGTTCGAGTATTGCACTTGTCCTACAGATGGAAGCCTTTCATTCATTTACGAGCTAGCAAACCACTTAAGCTCAAACAAAGCATTGTGGTGTTGGGAGATATTGCATTGCCAAGTCCTTTGATCTCCTATGCTAGGTTTGGATGGTAAAATATATGTGATTACTAACAGCGACAGTAAGCTCTAGAATAGTCTTTTTATATTGATGCATAGCTCTATTGATACCCCTATAATGTATATTAGTATTTAAAGGTTCTCAATTCTTAATTGTCCTATTTGTAAGGAACACCAAGTTTTATATAGTAGTATTATAGGTCTTTCCTAACTTACTTATATTTCCTAACTTATTGTTTTTCAATTATCAATTCAATTATACTTTCTATCAAGAAAAAACTAAAACCAAAATTAAACCTTACCCACCTTTACTTGGAACTTGGAAAGAGCTAAGATGTCGTAGATCAATCTTATTTTATTTATGGTGGAAACTTCCCAACACATTGAGAATGTTATTGCCATGACTTAAATTATTACTATTATATTTTTTATTTTAATTAATTTTTATATTTTTTTAATTTATTAAGAAATAAAAAATAAAAAATTTAAAAACAATATAATATAAAAGTATAATATATAATTCAATTAAAAAATATAATATTACCTATTTACCGTATAATAATAGCATTAATATTCCTTTCTAAATGGATCGGATCTAACTCAAAAAGTATATTCCCCCCTCCCCCGGGCTGGGTTCGAAACCCGCCCCTTGCAAACATGTTCAAAAAAAAAAAAAAAAAAAAAAAAAAAAAACTCAACAAGTATATCTGTGGTGGCTAAAAAATACCACTGTATCTCTTTCTTTTTGGGGTATAAATTGTGCCACGTGATTCAAATTGTTTACAACCTTTCCTCATGAGCCCCACTAGAGTTTTTGTACATTATTATAACTAGGTTAAATACCTTTTTTGTCCCTCTACTTTAGAAAAAAACCCTTTTTTGGTCCCTATACCAAAAAAATCTCCTTTTTGGTCCCTAAATTTTAAAATCCGGCCCCTTTTTAGTCTATCCATTAAATTTTGCTGATGTGGCAGGTTAATTAACGGAAAAACTTATTTTTTTTTTTACTAAATTACGTGGAAAATCCATCTAGCAAAAATTGATGACATGGTTAAATTTTTTATCTTTAATTACTGATTTACCCTCATCTTCTTCCCCATCCTCTCCTTCCTTCGGCCTTTTTTTATTTATTTATTTTTTACTTTTACCTTTAGGCGAACCCAGCTCCTGGGTTTTTTACTTTTACCTTTAGGCGAACCCAGCTCCTGGGTTTGCTCCATCCATGATAATGATCGTGGTAATAATAGAAAAAAGATTCTTCGCCCATTATCTCCTCATTTTCCTATTTATAAGCCACAGCTTACTTCGACGTTTCCAATTTTCCATAGAATCTTCAGAGCTTTCCTAGCCACTATAGTTTTATTTTTTTATCTTCTTTGTTTGAAAATGGGTTTGATTTGCTTCACCTATGAGAATTTGATATGGCAAATGAAGTAAGATTTTGATATGCATAACCCTTAAGAGTGATGTTGATGGGAAAAAAAAAATCAACCTAAAATCAAGGGAAGCAGATCAAAATCTGAAAAGAGATACCCCACCCACGAGAAATTCTTTCTTATTGTTTCCCGTCTAAGATTTATACCTAAGAAGCAAACAAATGCAAATCTGCAGTTTTTCGGTACAGATGTCGACCTCCTCCCTCTACTCTTCTACCTTACCACAACAAAATAGAAAAGCCCTCCCTTAGTCACCTAAATCTCACCGAAAGTATGCTAGAAATTGCCCTTTTGCTCTCCCCTCTATTCCGTTGCTATTTCTATAGAAATCACCAAAAGCACAAGCTACAAATTTTTGAGATTTTTGTCCCTTTTGTGCGGCTGTCACAA